TTCATTGCTCAGGGAGTAGAAAATCAGGATTTGTCAGGTTTCTGGGCTCATGTGGAGAAAGGAGGTCACAAAGTATTAGATAAAGATCACACAGTATTAGAAACAGATGGGTCAAGGTCAGAGATCAGAAGTCATGTCAATCCCTTCTCCAAAGTTTAACAATGGGTAATGACTGGAAAGGTGGAGGAGAAAGGGCTTCAAAAGAGTAGAAAGGGAAATTTAAGAGCATTCTTTAAGATGAGCTGATCATAGGGAATTGCATTTGGTTTTGTTAGAGTTATTCTTCAGTGAAGATACTCTGTGTCCTGCGATTTATAATATGGACATAAATCTCCCCTGGAGACAGAATTACCATCAAAGTATTTCCAGACTACTTTAGATCCATTCCATAACTACAGTCATTTTCCTGGTAGACCGGGGAAACATTTCCCCTAACTTCATGCACTCATCAGGGGCACAGAATGAAAACTGATCTCAAAATGGACTTTGACTATGGAAAGAAGGAAATATGATACTATTGTCTAGGTCTTAGTGGCTTCCCATGTCATCTGATAGCAATCCTCTCTGTAACTCTGGACAGGGAACTCTTCATTTGCATTTCAAAGATGAAGAGACTGAGATCCAGAGAGCGCAAATGAATTGTTTAAAGCTGTTGGTGAAGGAAACTCTATGGGAGTACACCTGAGGGGGTGGTGGGAGGAAGCAAATATTGTTTAAAAATTAACAATGATGTAAAAAAAAAGATATTAGTGCAAACCACAAGTGGGCTTTCAAAAACAATACAAATAAAGTAAATGTAAACTATTTCATCAATTAAAAAAATAAAGCTGTGCACACGTAAGTGGTAGAAATAGGATTTAGACCTGTTTCTTTTCATTCCAAGTTCAGATCTTCAAGACAAAGCAGGCAGAATCCTTTTTTTTTTTTTGATGGGCATTCTGCCAGAGCAATATACTCAGAAAGCCTTAATGGACCAAGAGTTTTAATAGTTACAGATACCTTTTAACAGCTCACCGGCCATAGGTTCAGGTACAGTGTGAATGCCTCTCGTGGGAGAGCCTTGCATCTCTCCAAACAAAGGAGCATATGTGATGAGTGCTATTCAAACCACCATCTACCTGTCTTTAGTGTGTTTTTAATCTTCCCCTCTCCTGAGAGCCACCAAGGAGCCCCATATCTCTGTGGCCTCCCATAAGACATATATGGTTAAATTAACCCCAAGTTGTTTGTTTATACCCAGTTCAAATACCAGGGACCTATCTTAGCTACTTAGCATCTGGTAAAAATCCAGAACACTCTATGTTTCTGGTATTTGCCAGGTTTGTAAAGTATCATCCTCCATTGGAGAGGACACTTCAGTTCATTGGACAAGAAGGACACTGAGCAATATGCCTTGGGAAACTCAGCTCACTTCTTGGGGTGTCAGTTTTCCAACTTTCCGAAATTAAGTTTTAATGTTTTACAGTCAGTAGCAATAGGTCAGATGGTTTGAGTGTGTCTTCTGTTTCTTTCTGGGATGCTGACTCATCTGGTAGTTTCATCTAACTTAAATCCAAATTCTAGCCACTCTGCTAGGTGGATTTCTAGAGCATCCTGTGGCTTTTATGACGTATTACTCTGCATTATGAACAGTTGAGGAAACTCAAGGTAGGTGAATAATCCAAAATCACCTATCTAATAAGTACTGAGTAATAAGCCAAGTCTGTGGATTTCTACTTCTCTGACCTCTATGTACTGCAATGCAGCATTTATTTCCAAAACAGCCACAAAGAGAAAACATGTGCGTTAAACACACATTTATCTTGTTAAATATTATAGTTTTGCAGAAAAAAACATGCAGGACATGTGAGTGTGAACAGAGGTCTGATTCAGAATTAGTTGCAAAAATTTGGGCATATGACCATTCTAAATGTTCACTTATTCATCTGTCAAACGGTTGTAATATTTTAACATTACCTCATTTGTTGACTGCCAGAACTGCATGACAAAATGCAAACCAAATGGATGTGTTGTACAAAATAAGGTATATTTAACTATAATAATAGTAAAACAAACAAACAAACAAACAAAACCCAAGAAACTCAGAGATGCCTTACTTGTCCTTGTTGGGCAAGTTGTACCAGAATAATTAGTGAAAGTAATTTGAAAATCCTTCAGTAAGTCATGAATAAGACTTTCTGAAAATAAGAGAGTAAAAATATGATAGGAAGATATGGTCAAATGACCAGGGCTTATTAGGCATTATATGGAGATAAATGTGGTTGACACAAGTTGGGGGAGAGATTGCTAGTGACATCTAGTGGGTAGAAACCAGGGATGCTGCTAACTTCTCCACAATGCCTAAAACAGTCCCCCACTCAATCAATTCTCTGGCCAAAATGTCGAGATTGAGAATTTCTGGTCTGTTGGATGTTAAGTTCAGAAACTAATGCACCTTGTTTATTTATGTGCTCTAGGACTTGGCACTGGATTTGATATAAAGTGGACACTCACTTTGTTGAATAAATGGAAAAGCAAATGAATGAAATGTATAGCTACAGAGAACCAGATAATGCAAGTTAGATCTAATGCATATTGCCAGTGGAACTCAGAGGTTTTCTCGTTACCCTCTTATTTCACCCTTCTCTTTTCACTTTTCTGTCCCGTTGCTACTTCTTCCCATTCTTTTCTCTTCCAACACTGAGCAAGAATGAGAATACTCTATCAAATCTGAGGCTGCCTAGAAGTGATAAATATCACTTATAAAATACAAGCCCTGCAAGACTTCTTCCAGCTCTCCTCTTCCAACCAGTCCATTTCAGCTAGACAGTAATCACATCAGTAAATAAATGGATTCACTTTTGTTCCCTCACTGATCATGAACAGATAGAGCCAGAAGCACATATTTCCTGCAAATGTCTTACTAGAAAAGTTCAATTATGCTTTTAAGAAGACACATCCTGGGCCATGAAATAGAAACTAGGTTTAGGTGAGAAAGTAGAAAAATGAAGGTATTTATTTCTGGGACAACAGCTAGCTGTGATTATCACAGGATTCCCACATCTGGCACTGTATGTGGTACATGGAAGGCATCATTACCTACTTGCCTAAATCCTTGCGTGGTAAAGTCAATGCTTCAATCCCTCCTTCAAATCTATCCATCATTAAAAAAGGGATTTAAGAAAATTTTTTGTTGTTGTTTCAAACATTCAATCTTGTAGAATGGCAATTTGAACACCGCAAGTTTTGAAAAATCGTATCTATTTTCCTCTCTTATGGAGATCCAAAGACAGAAAAGGATACAGGGGTTCATCACTGAGAGTTGGATGTCAACTGCTGACTTAAAAGGTCCTAGGAGTAATAATTCATGTTGAGCAAAAATGTAGCTAAAACCATATTTTTTATTATAAATAAAAGAAGCCTAAAATATTTGGCATATCTTTGCCAGAAAATCCACTCTGAGCCCACAAGTAGGTCTAAAGAAGTCACAGGGAGGGGGGCATCTATAAAAGCTTTTATGCCCAACACATCAGTTAGCCCCATAAGGATGACAGTGACATGACTATCCCCTTACATTAACCAATCCAAAACTCCACAATGAACTGGCTGCCCTGTGTTGGGAATAAGCTTTCCATAAGCTGTAGTGGAATGTGTCTGATGTTTTGTCAGAACAATTTTCCATTAGTAATTTTGGCTAGATTCTGTGTTTTAAAATGATCACTGTAAAATATATTAATTATGCAGATCCATTAGTCTGTAGAGTAGGTGTTTCCATTTTCAACTCACCCCTAATCTTTAAATATTTAAAGCCACATGGATGACCAGGAGCCTCTGCTAAGGATTTAGTACCTCATGTCACCATTTCAGGCTCAAAATCCTCATGTATTCCATTTTCTTATACAAGTATAGGGCCAAACACTAGTTCTATTTGTACACTAGCTTAGATTGTTTGATGACAAACTCAAGACTAGTCCAACACTCATTTACTTCTTAATACCAGCCACTTACTCCATACTTAATAGATTATTTTAAGCTTGCAACAATCAACATGTTTAAGCACACACATGCATAGTCAAAGAAAAGGCCAAAAGAAACAGGGGTAAGATGAAATATAAACTCTATTGCCATTATTAGAGATTTGGTCACCCCGCTGAAGAATGCTGCATCTCGTCGATGGAGACCAAAACATAATACTCTTTATTGTCTGTCAGGTGAGTCTTGAGGGATTGCCTATATCTGATGAGCATAACATACTTCATTAAAAGTGTTCATTTGATGGCTCTTAATATATTGAGAACTCTCATACATACCGTTGGAAAAAGCAGATGGATTTAGATTTCTCTATCCTGACTGGCTCTAACACCACAGTTTCTGATTAAACTACCCATTATTATTTTAAGAGAAAGTGAAAGAGGTGATAGAGAATTAGTAAGTTACCACTTTTGCCTGTGACATAAAAAATGACTAGCATTTTGGAAACAATTTACTGTGTTCTGCAGTCTGAACTCTTTAATTTACTGGGTGTCTATGAAATCTTTGTAACTTTGTCTACAAAGTTATTGTTTATTAGAGAAAACAGACTTCACCAAGAAGTGAATATTGGGCCAACACTTCAAATCTTGACTCTCAGCCTTCCCAACTTGTGATGTGTGGTTTTGTTTGTCGATTGTTTTAGATCTCTCTGGTTTTTGGTGAACTACAGTAAGGGTGTCCCAAGCTACAATGTCTTCATCATCAATAATCCTCTCTCTCTTACCAGAGAAAAGAAAAGGCAACATTTCACAAATTCACCCCATGATTGGTGTGCATTGCCTCTAGTCTAAGAAGGGCTAATTGAGGAGAAATTTCAAATATATTGATTCCATATCAGTTGGATTTTCCCTCTAATCTGAACTTACTGACTTAAGTGGATTTCAAATGGGGAGCTCAGCACTCAGAATGCCTTTGGGGACTCTGAATTTTTACTTTGTCATTATTCTCAGCATGCCTGTCAATAGCTGTGCTCACTTTCAATTACCCAGGTGGTATGGACACAGAGATATCTACATGAAATGCCACATCAGCCCTTCCCAGGTAGGTGAAGAGTGAAAGAAAATCATGCTGGTGGTGAGTAAAAGGAAGATGAGAATTCTACAAAGTTCTTCACCAATAAATAAATTCAGAGGCAATTGCTTTTTATACTTTGCATCATTGATAAACCAGTTATCTTAAGATACTGATATTTCTAATTTATCAAGGCATCTTCATGTTAACACTTTACAAAAGACCGAAAGCCAACAAGATGGATTTCTTTTGATCAATTAAAAAGGTGACTTTAATGTAACCACTTCTGTCTATCTGTCTCCTTAGGCTAGCTCCTTTTTGTCACATCCACGTCTTTCTGCTACACAAGTTGAGTGGGGAATAAAGTACACATTCTCCAATTTCAAACACCTAATTAGCTCAGAGTCACAAAAGCACAGTCTGAGAAGAAAGAGGTGATGTAGTGTCAAAAGAGGGAAACACTAATGCAAATATGGTGTGCATATCATTTCAGTCTAGAAATTGGCTACAGGTTATAGGGATGAAGTGAAACCAAGACAGAGAGGCATGATAAGCCTTCCTGTTTGAGTTTCACCATCATCATTGTGTTGCTTCAAGCAAGTTATACACTTGCCCGATCTGTAAAATAGGGTGTAAGGTTATTTCCCTCATGAAAGATTGCGAAGACTCCAGGCAATAAGCCATGCAAAATGCTCAGAAACTTTGCTGGGCAAACAGTAAATATTTATTAAACAATTACTATATTCTTCATTGTGCTAAAGAATAAATAATATCATGGTGAAAAAAATCCCCTTTATTGTTCTCTCCTATATGGCATAGATTTTTATGCCTCAGAATAGATTACAACAGTTTTTTGGCCATAGCATTCTAGACGTTTCCAAAGTGATGTTGTTAAGTACTGCGCATACTACCCCTAAGTCAAAGTAAGGGTCCTGGCCTCTTTAAGATAGAGAGTCCCCCCACCCCCATTGTCCTTCTGTGTCAGTGGGGCTGAGCATGGTTGGAGACTTACTACTTTTGTTAGCTGGCAACTGGAATTTACAAAAAAGATGGGTTCCTTCGATTGCAGAGTGCTATCCCCTCACTTCTTCACTAATTTATATTACCCAATAGCTTCAGATGATGACAAACTTTGTGTCCAGTTAATGACTTTGTACATAATCTGTTATAACAGCTTTGAAAGGAGAATAATAGCAATGAGATGCTGGAGACTTGGGGACATGGGAAGTAGGATTCTCAGTGCTGTTGAGTTCACTCGGCAGCAATTACCAACAGCCTAAGATAAAAGTTTCATTTGCTTTTTCAACAAATATCTTCTAGGGAATACTTGGTTCCAGGGAGAATTATTGGCATTTAAGGTAGTTATGAGGAACATACTATGGTGACCAGTCATAAGGGAAAAAAAGATAAATTCATGTCAGTTTGGAGGATTTGCCTATTTGAAGATTAAAATAGATCAATCAAAATCCCGTTTCTTAGAATGAGCAATTTCATTCCAGCAAGCAAAGGGTGTGTGCAGGGTAGAATGCCAAAGGAAGTAGATTTGAGGATCAGTGCATTCCCAGACACTCATTACTATTTCTATAAGCTGCCATTAGACTACTTCAGCCTCTGAAAAATTGCTATTCTGAAAAAAGATTCTATACCTACGAGGTCTAAGCACACATGATATTCCAACTTTATTTTCAAAATCTCTGAAAAAAAATATAGAAAGACATTGTCCTGCTTCTTAGTCAACAATGTCTTTAACTTTCATGATAAATAGTAATATATCTCTAGTTCTTCACCATGCAGATTTGCGCAGACTATGCAGATTTGTTGATTGTATAACAAAAGATTAAAGCATCAATGTGTTTCCATTAGAGCAATTACTTAATCATCTTATCATCCCTGTCTAGGATAATTATATTAATAGACATCCTCCCAGACTTCTAAAATAACAACAAAGATTCAGACCCTCCAATACTCTGAAAAATAAAAGCAGTCAACCAGGTAATGCACTTAAAAATCATTACTAGCAGTGGTGACCAGAGAGTAATTTTGCATTGGTTTGAATTTTATAACAGCAACTTTTTTTCTTGATCAGCTTCAGATATAGAAACTCAAGAACCAGGGCTGGGCATTTGACAGATGGTGGCACAAATACACAGCGCAAAGAAAGAATAGATGCAACAGCCACTTGTGATTACATCTTTTCATAGAATGTTAAAGATTTACTTTAATGATCTGACTACTTTTCATAGATTCAATTCTTTTAAAGGTGCCTGCACCTGATCTTAGAGGAAATTCATCCCATTCATTCTGCCTTGATATAAGACTTACAGAATTAGCACACCCCTCTCAGTACAGAATGCAATATTCAGTAGCTATTTATGGAGTTTAAGAAATTCTTACTCTGACTCTGATGAAGAAACTTTAATTAAAATGATAAGCAGGTAGTAGCATGATGAATATACTTAGGACATTAAACACTCCACAGGGGGGTGAGGTAGAATGACATTACATTTTTATAAAGTCAAATATAAGTTTGCTTCAGTAGTTTCCTTACTATGTCAAAAGAAATCTGTCACATCCTTCAACAGCTAAGGTAAGCATCACACTATCTCACAACACAGGGTTAAGCATAAGGATATAAGAAAACAAAGTAAAAAAAATGTTATCAATAAAGATTTCAATAATGATATTTAAAAAGAATTTGGAAAGAAAAGTGACTGTAGAGCCCAAATGTACCTATGCAAATACACACACACAAACACACACACACACAGACACAGAGCCAGCTGTAAATCAAGATAGATATAAACTTACCGGAGCAAATATCACCATACACATTTACAAAAGAATTTATAATCCAACTTCCCTCTCCTGAAAGAAAATAGAGGTTGTCTCATACTAAAAATAAAGCTCCTCTGTCCACAGAACCAGCCACTTATCCCTCTTTTTATGAAGCAAAGGAGGAGAACAAGAAAATCAATGAGGAGGGCAAGTGAGATGTTATACCAATCAGGTAGCAGCTTCTGCCTTATTTGCAGAGAGATGGCAAAACGGTCATATTATTAGACAGTGACAACCCACAGTCGAAGTACGGCAACCTGATACTTCCCTCTGGTGAAAGGCTGCTGCTTTGTGGGGAGGTGCTTGCCATCATGGTGAGCCCCCACACTTGGCTCTTTGCTCACAAGTGCAAGTGCATGACTGCTTTGCGCAAGCAGACTGCATCTTGAAGAGATTACCATCTCCCCTTTGACTCGGAGAGCCCCCTCCTCCCTCCAGCACAGTGCTTAAAAGCAAACCGGGAAATCAAAAGGAACCAGGATTTTGTGTGTTGGCGATGCAGGCTGGAAGTGGTGGTTTTTATAAAATCTTTAGGAATAGATTTGCATAGATTAGGTAAATGTTTATATGTTTGTTAAAATAATAATTGCCCTTATTTTTATGGAAATGCCTGGATGTTATTCATGATCCCCATCTGGGAAATTCATCCAGCACCCATAAATAATCATTAAGGTGATGGTGCTGCAGGCAGGCTTTTGGGGCCCTGGCAACTGTGGAAAGGGACAAATGACAACTTGGTTGCATGTGCCTCCCAGGAGTGTTACTTAACGCTTCTCTTGAAAATCTTCAAACTGAAAAAAATTCAGATGTTAAAACGTGAAATGGGTCTGCTTTTTCTAAATGAACCTCTGTAGGAAGGAGTAGAATCTGACCAGTTCTGGGGCTGAAATCATGGCATTCCGAGGCGATGAGTTTTGGAGGAATTAACTGAATTCCCCGAGAGGCTGCCACAAGTTCCATGCTCTCCTTGCTCTGACTTCTTCTTCTTCTTCTTCAGTTTTTAAAAGATTTATTTATTTATGCACACAAGCACTGGGGTACAGGCCAGAGGGAGGGTGAAAGGATTCACCAGAGACAGAGCAGGGAGCCGAACAGGCAGATGGACCGAAAACACTGCTGAGGGGAGCAGCGGGTGCAACAGGAGAGGTCTGCAGCGCCATGTGGGTAGCTCCCTGGCTGGCAGGGGCTTGAACCTGTGCTGCAGAGGCTGTGGACAGCTTCACAGCACTGCACTCAACCCGCTACACCACCAGGGAGGCCTGTTCTGGCTTCTGGAGAGTAATTTCTCAGCACAGGAATAGTGTTAGGTTGGTCCAGTGTCTCTGCTTTATCTTTTGTGCAGTTGGTAATGGTTGGAGTGAAAGTTCCCTTCACCAGCCATGTTTTTTTATTGGAGTTTATTTATTCAGAATCTGTCCTGAGCTTTTCTTTGGGTCCCTGTCTTTGTTTCTCTGATTCTCACCCACACATCACAGCTGTCATATCATCTCCCTTACTCCATTTCATCTTTCTCCACAGAATAGTAATGGACTGTGAGGGGAGGTTGGGGGACCAAACAAACAAACAAAACATGAAGAGGAGACAGGCAACCTGGGTTCGAGTGCCAACCCTCCACTTATAAGCCATGTGACTTGGGAAGTCCTTTAGAGTCTTATCTTGTCCTCTGTAAAACGGACATGCTGACACCTGATAGAGCTGTTGCTGGAAGGTGTGGGGGAGCAAAGCGAAGATGCCCAAGGCAGTGTGTTCAAAACCACAACCAGAGACATTTTAGGGGGGCGGGGGTGGGAGGGGAGGGATTGGGGTCAGAATGGGGGGGGCTGCAATTGTATGGGGAATATAAAAATAAAATTTATTATTAAAAAAACAAACAAACAAACAAACAAACAAAAAAACAAAACCACACTTCCTATATGCAACCTGGGCTGGAGTCCTCAAGCTAGCTTGCTCCTTTTTTCATCTATTTGCTCCCTGTCCATAAGCCTTAGAGGTACTTAGGAGCTTTCAACTGTATATACCCTGTAGCTCCTTTGAAATTTCAACAAAAACCATATTCTTTCCCCCCCTACCCTCACCTGCCAGTTGAAAAGCATTTCATTTCAACAGGGGAAGTTACTCTAGGGAGTAAATTAAGTTGAAGCAGGGAAAAAAGAGTGAGAGCCACTGGACATTTAAGTCAGCATTTGCTGAATAAA